TATATGTTTAGCACTACAAAAAAAATGTTATATTCCAACGTAAAATCCTACTATAATATATTCCAACGGATATTCCAATGGTATAGCTTCCGTTGGAATGACTTTTCCATTGAAATTTTAGATGAAATTTGATGATTCCAACGGCTATTTTTCCTACGGTTTTTTATCGTAAAATTTCCGTTGAAATTTTTATTTCCACCTCCGTTGAAAAATCTACCGTTGGAATTGTCAAAATCTAACGAAAATTCCAATGGAAAACTTATTCCAACAGAATATTTTTATTGAAATTTCCGTTGGAATTTCATTAAAATATATTTGTATTGGAACTTTCTGTTGGAATTTCTTCATTTTGTTGGAACTTTCTGTTGGAATATAACAATTTTTTGGTAGTTTTAACGTAGCAGACAATTGATGGGATAATACTGTGTACCCTAATTGGAAAAGAGATTACTAATTTATATAGAGATGACTTTAGGTCTGGTACGTCCATCAAATATCCAGATTAATGGTTTCGATTTGTTTGACCATTAAATAAATGGTCTAACTCAATGGGATAATTAATTGTGAGCTCAATGCTTTCAGGCCACATATTCTTACATGTGCATGACCAGAGAAACTAGTATTAATTAATATGTTAAGTGATGTTATTAATTTTATTATAACTATAAATTATGAAAATTAAAAAAAAAAATATTAATGACATTGAAAAATTATCAAGTTATCGAAAAAAATGGAAACTTATATAATCAATTGTAAAAATATTTCCAAAATATTCATAGAAATACATAAATTATTTATAAAAGTTATAGAACATCCTAATAAAATTATATATATGTATATATATATATATACATACATATATATATATATGTATGTGAATAAAACATTAAATTAACCCACTCATGCTGAAAATTAAAAATTAAAAATAATATATAAATCATGTTATAGTGTAATATTCAAATTTAATAAATGATTTTACGTATATTTTGTATATGTGTGAATATAATACCAATTTTTAAAGTTGATAAGTATATGGTTAGTATAAAAAGTTGTAAAAGTTTAAATATATCCAAAAAAATTCTTTAAAGTTTGAGAAAAAAAAATGATTGGAGATGAATTACAAGAATGTTTGGGAATAATTTCTATTTTTTTTCTAAATCATTATTATTATTACTAGTGTGTACCCCGTGCGATGTACGGGAACAATATTAAATTAACAATATTATAAATAGATATCGAGTTTGAGTCACTCAATGTCGGAAGTGGAAACTACTATTGATCCTATTTAAAAAGAGGAAGAAAAAAAATAATTATAAATTAAAGAGGAGGATAAACAATACTTAATAATTATAAATTAAAGATTCGGGGTCAAACAATGTAAAATTATTTTGTATAAGGGAATATAAAAAAATTTGATTACACACCATTTCAAAATTATTATTATACTTTTTTGTATGGTTAGCTTATAATATTTGTAAAAATATTAGTAGTAGTAATTATGAATTAGTTTCTATTTTATTTTATTTTTTCTTTTTAAGGATAATGGATTTCTAGTAGTAATTATGAATTGGTTTCTATTTCATTTTATTTTTTCAAATCTGTATAGATAAGGGATGAGATATTTAAAACACGTGAGACGCATGCAATGTGATTTTGTAACAGAAGAGATAAGCAATAGAATTTTGTAACTCGTGTAGATTTATACTAAAAATAGGAAAAGAAAAACAAATAATATTGTCAAACAACGATTTTGATAAATTAAAAAACGGAAAAAAGAGAAACAAATCTTTACACAATTAATGAGCCAATTTTTTTGCCTATTCATATTTGTCCAACAATTACTATATATAGAATATATTTAATGATTTTGGCGGGAAAATATTTCTAAATGTGTTAAAAAGTTATTCTTTTTATATAATGATAGATTACTGTATATTTTTCAACACAACTCTCCTCCCACATATTTTTAACTATCAATAATTTTTATTTATTTGACTATTTTTACATCAATGATTACATTTTATTTCAAAAGGCTACATAAATATAAATCATTATCTGAACCAATTTAGAAACTCCATTTTTTAACCGAATATTCATATTTCACGAGGCCAATTTTTTCAAAGGCCGAATTTCTACCACAGCCATAGCTATGTGAATTAGGTAAAACTGCCCCAAGATAAAGCACTTAACAAATTTGTGTATAAATACATTACTCTCCAGTCAGCTTGAAATCATCACAACTTAAATATTTATTCTAGCAATTGACTGTATAATNGAGGCTCAATCACTACCAAGCAGGTTAAAAAAAAAAAAAAAAAAAAAAAAAAAAAAAAAAAATTAGCCTCAAATGGCTTCTTCTCCTTACAAAGCTATTATCATCACACTAGCAATCCTATTTGTGTTCCTAAGCAGCTCCAAAGCTGATCTTTCGAGCGATCTTTCTAAAGTATATCCTAAATGCACGAACCTTTTCGACATTGTGAGAGGTGTTATGGAACAAGAAATTCAAAAGGATCCACGAACAGGCGCCTCTTTACTTCGCCTGCATTTCCATGATTGCTTTGTCGATGTAAGCAATTTTTCCTTTATTTTTTTTATTTTTGTTTTCGCAATTTTCTTTCTTGTTTATCGGTCATCTACGCATTAAGTTGTTCTAAAACAGAGCATTAAGTTATATATAGCATGCATGATTATTATGTAAAGTTTTCATTTGCTAAAAAAGATTTTGATCATTTTCTGACAGTATCTTTAATTAATGTTTTAATCCACATTAATTAATCAAAATGTACCTCAATCTGATTAATTAGATGGTATTCATATCNCTTAGGGATGTGACGCATCAGTCCTTCTAAAAGACACATCGACTTTCACGGGAGAGCAATCTGCGCGGCCCAATAAGAACTCCCTTAGAAAACTCGAAGTAATCGACCAAATCAAGTCGGAGGTAGAGACCAAATGCCCGGAAATGGTCTCTTGTGCCGATATCTTGGCCATTGCTGCTCGGGATTCTGTTGAAATCGTAAGCTATCTAGACTTTCTAACAAAAAATAAACTATGCCGCAAACTTATTTGTTTTGAACAATGTTTATTTCGATAGATCATTTTACATAAACTTTATTCCATACAGCTAACACATAATTTTATAGTTAGAAAATACTTCAAAGTTTTCGGCAAACACTAACCGATGAATGATACAAAAATTTACAGCTTAGCAAAAAAAAGCTTAATTACAATGTGGAAATTGGACGATTTGACTCCACAACCGCAAACGAAACTGCAGCAAACAACTTACTTCCTCTTCCAACTTGGAGTATCAGCGCCCTTATCACAAACTTCAAAAATCAAGGCCTTAACGAAACGGACCTTGTTCTTCTCTCAGGTTCGACTCTTCTATAAATAAGCTCCATTTTATTTTATTTTTTTATTTTAGCTAACATGATATAGTTGTGTATATATATATAGGTGCTCACACGATTGGGTTAGCAAGATGCACGAGCTTCAAGAGTCGATTATACAACGAGAAAGATAGCCTCGACAAAAATTTTGCCAAAAATCTACGTGCAATCTGCTCGCGAGATGATAGTAAAACCGGAAATAAAACGGCCAGTTTGGATTACCAAACGCCATTCGTTTTCGACAATAGTTACTACAAAAACATCATCGATAAGAAGGATGTGCTCGAGTATGATCCGCAATTTCTCAATAACGGTGACACCAAACAGCTGGTCAGTAAATATAGCAATGATAGCGTTGTATTTTACCAAGATTTTGGTCAAGCGATGATTAAAATGGGCCGCCTTAAGGGTACCACAGGGGAGAAGAAGATGGAGATAAGGAAAAAGTGTTGGAAGAGGAATTAGAAAGTTGGGTCGGTTTTTCGTGACTATTATTATCATACTTATAATTACTAATCTTATGTTTGGAGTTTGTGTTTGTGTTTCTTGTTTCAGAGTTGTGCCTTTTTAAACAATTGTCATGTGTGTTGTTGTTGTACTCTGTTTTTATGCTTAAAACATGAATAGAAGTTTGAGTTTTGTGTAATTGAATGTATGTAAAGTAAAACTCTTCCTGCATAAGGGGAGCCTAGCCTAAATTGATAATAAATTAACAACAAAGAAACATTGTGACTTTAAAATGAACAATATAATTAGTAGGAAGAGAGCTTTAAGTAATGGCCGATGGGGATGTATGTCCAAATAACATTCTTATGAAAAATAATAATAATAAAATTGTCCAAATATGTGAGTGCCAAAATAAGAAATGGGGGTACAAGTTTAGAATTTCTCAAATTCTCAATTCCAGTGAGCAAACAAATTTACTAGCACAAATTTGAGACAATTTTCAACATCCCGTGTCATCAATTGGTGTACTTTTCATGTATTTTAGTTAAATTGATGCATCCAAGTTTAGACTTTAGAGGCGGCAAAAGGGTCAGGCCAGTCTCGTCTGCATCTAGCTTGTAGTCCAGTCACTAATTGGGCCAATCGGGTTACTTCCACCTGCATCTAACTGGGCTAAGCCCATTTACTTCTTCATATGGGTTAGGTTGGGCCGGCTTGGCTCACAATTGTTATTTCTATATTGAATATTTGCGAATAATATACAGTTGTCATATTAGTTGCTCTATATATGTTCCTTTGAAAGCGTTCAAAGATGAGGTATTGGGGGATGAAACTAGACAAGTGAAGAATGAATATGTATTTTCCTTTCATTGATTGTAAGTATTATTGTAAGGAAAACAAATGTTGGGAATTGTGTGAAGACAATCAGGATGCCACATTTTGAAGCAATCTGGACTTTGGACCAAATTCAGTCACGATCTCCATGTGGGAGATGTTGAAGTATTAGTCTTTACAAATACACATGTACTCTCAAGTACATTTAAGTTGAACCCCCAATTATTTGAAGATGGTGATTGGGTCCTAGGAAAAATTTAAACCAAGTTCACAATAAGTATATATCAATATATGTTTAAATCAATTAATTTTCATATAATTAACAGGTTAAATCTGTACAAGACGGGTTGAATAATTGAGCGAAAGATGTTTTTTAGGTGTAAAAGGTATTTAGCTGTGAAACACAAGCATATAACAGTTAATCCTACTATGTTTCCACTTATTATGATATAAAGTTCTTTGCATTCCAAATTTAAGAATTTCAATTTCCAAAGCCAGGAGTAGTAGTTAGGGTTATACCAATAAAATTAAAATAAAATGTAGATGGCTCCCTATTCATTAGAATTATATGGAGCCAAGGGTGACTCTTTTATGGAGTTATTTATAAATTTATGTATTGACACGCATTTCAAATATATGTATTTTAGAACAAGTGTCAATAAAAGATTATTTATGATTTTAGATGGTTCTATAAGTCGTGTTATTCGACGGCCATAGCAAATTAAGACTGTGTAATTCATACATTAAGTAGTTTTTTTTTTTTTCAGAGTTGTGCATAGTATAGTCAGAGTTGTGATGCTGACTCTTTCGCCGGGACTCTCCCCGGACCAGGATCTGCTATCTTTGTATTTCATTGTCAGCTTTTTCTTGTATTTTTTCTTGCTTTTGTTTTTTATTTTTTATTTTATTTTTCGTTTGACTTGATGTATCAGACATTGGATTTGTAGTTTTGTGACTTTTCAGCCCATTTAAGACATATTTATATACAGGTTGGGGGTTCGGCCTTAACCCTCCACCCTCCTTGGGTGGTGTTTGGAAAAAAAAAAAAAGTTATCTAATAATAAAGTGATCTTCTTGTACAAGAGGGAACTTCTTCAAGAACCAAAATAAATAGAGTTGTAGATGAAAAATTGACTATTAAGAATAAAAATAAAAATACTTAAAATACGCTCAGCCATCTTTATAAGCAAAAGAAAGGTTGCTGATGATGCAATTCTAAAAGACATGCTATCTCTGCTTACAGTAAAAGACTACCTTTTCTTTTTGTCTTTTATACGACTTAAATTCGCCATTTATTTTTAATTCTCTAATCTCCACTTAAGGCTACTCAACAAAAGACAACGGTTATCACCCAGCAACCTACAACTGATGTAGAAATATTCATACCAAAATAAGAGTGAAAAAAATAAAAAAAAAAAAATTACATTTGTACATGTTAATCACTAATTTACCTTTGATAAAAAAAATATTCATATGAACATGTAAATAATTCACACAAGATGGATCATACATTAAAATCATTAACAAATATTAGTATATATCAAGTAGGAGCCAATAAATTATACAAAAATATAAATAGAGAATCCGAACAATAACAAGTTTCAACCGAAATACGTCATATTATTATTATTACTATTACTATTACTATTATTATTCCCGGTTGATATATCGACGCTGAAGTCGTGCTCGCCGGACATACAGTCGATGGGAAGTCCCGACCCAATAAGAAGAGGAGGAGGAGGAGGAGGCACGGGTGGCGGTGACATGGCAATGGACACGACTCCCGAGGAGAGTAACGTGCATATGTGTGGTGACGTGGACATTTCGGTTTGTTGTTGTGCGAACTTGTATTTCAAAATCTCGGCCCTCACAGCATTAAGCTCGGCCTGCAGAAACTGAATTTGTTGCTGCAGTGCCGAGATCGTGCCCATGCACCCGTAGACTGGGTCTTGGAGCCGCACGTTCGCCTCGTAAACGAGACTGTTAGCTGCGTCGGCTCGTTGGTTTTCGGGTACCTCCTGAGAATAATAATATAATAATAATTTTAGAGTACATTCGTGAAAAATCAAATTAATTAACCAAATAGAACAGGTCAGGTGTGTGTTAATCCAACGGTCAAAAAATTGTATGCATCTAAAAAAAAGTAAACATAATTAAGAGATTTAGGGTTTGATGGTGAGTTAATATATATATACCATGAGCATCTTGGAGACATTGCTGGCGCCAAAGACCTTGTGAACGGAGGCGAATTTGTGGGGTTCGTGTGGGGAGAAATAGGGAGAGAAAGGGCACTCGTGAGAGCACCGCCGCCTCAGGAGCTTGCAGGCGGCGCAAGGGGTTATTGTGTTTAGGGTTCCGCCGCCGGCCGCCGTCTGAACCCTTCTCCCACCACCGGCGGCCGGGTGGTGGTGGTGGTGAGGAAAGACATCCCTTTCTCTCTTTATTTTCTTGCTTATATCCTCAAATCTCTCCCTGTTGATTTAATTTTGAAATTAATTAATCGATATGTAAATGT